TGAGGAGGATTCATAGCCATGTCTGTTTCACTGTAATCATTTTTGAAAATTTAAACCTTCACCATATATTTTAATCATCTTTGTTCCTAGCAAAACACGCATCTGTGGCAACCAGGTCATTGGCCTCACTCCCCATGTGCCCACAAGCCTCTCGGGAGCTCTCCAGGCCTTGTGACACCCAGCATTTAGCTCTGCCTCCCCACTCCCTCCAGCCCCCAGCAGCATGGGAGCGGCACTGAGTGTGAATTCTGCTGGAACTTGCTGTGGCACAGAGTCAGAAGCTACGAAACAAGACTTTAAATTAAAACACACATAAACAACCTCCCCACTGTGTCCCCCATTCAAAGTGAAATCTACCTATTATAATAAGTGTCACCTTAGGGCTACTTAGTGTGGTGACCAGTCAGGCGTTATTAACTACAATAATATAACATTATGATCCATGTACAGCAGCAGCCTTCCTGTTCGGATTACCACTGGCTCCTCCTGGACAGTGAGAAGGAAGGGGAGGCTGGGCGGGAGGTCAGCCAGGTAACTAAAACCTGAAGGAGCTGTTGTCCTTTTCCTGGCCAGTGGGTTCCGGCCTCTCCTTTGCATACCTGGCTGTACTTTGCCACACTGTTCTTATCAGCCTGGGAAGCTGCTCCTCCCACCTCAAATCTAGCCTAGCCATAGCCAGCCTAGGCCAGCAGGTCCGGATATTGGCCAGTTTTCCACTATAGTAATAAAACATCTGAGACTGGGGACCTTATAAAGAAAAGAGGTTTATTTTGGCTCAGGGTTCTGGTCCAAAGTGGAAGGCCTGCATCTGGTGCCCACATTCTTGCTGGCAGAGTCCCAAGGGCATGGAGGGTACCACAGGTAACAGAGAAGACACACATGGGTGTACAGGGTGTGTGTGTGTGTGTGTGTGTGTGTATGCACATGTATGTGTTCTGGTCTCTTCCACTCTTCTTATAAAGCACCAGGATCCAATCAGGGACTTTACTCAGCTGACCTGAGATTAGGATCAAATCCTAACCTCCCAAAGGCCCCATCTCTAAACACCGCAGTCAGCCTAAGATTCCACCCTCTTTGCACCTCACAGTGACGGTTAAATTTTGACACATGGGGCAGGGAACCACAGTAGGCAGTAATAAGTTAGTGAAGTAGCGCACTCCAGCCCTGTTCGATACAGGAGGGGTTTAATCTGTTTATCTCAGGGAAGGAAACACACAGGGTCTCTGGCTAGTGTCATCCTTCCTGAGCTATGCAGCAGACCCTTGCCTGGACTCTCGGTTCTCCTCTAACACTTGGCTCCAAGCACCCTGGCTAGGTCTTTCCAGCGCCAGGCAGGCTGAGAGACTCCCTTGCTTCAAGCCTCCTTTCCACCCCTGGCGGTGCTGGCCTCTGCCTCCCCGCCGATCTCATCCAGCCACCCTCCCTCTGCTCACTGTACAGTGGCTGAACCGATCCCCCAAAAGTGTCTCATGTCTGCCAGCCCCCTCCTCCTCACTCCAAGCAGCTGGGACTTCTGACCCTGCAGGCCTCAGTGTGACCATCTCTGAGCCCCTCTTTGGTTTGAATGTTTTGTCTCCTCTGAGAGTCATGCCGTAATCTGACAGCCATAGCGGTGGGTGGGAAGCCAGGCCTTGAACAGATGACGAGGCCATTAAGAGGGAGCAATAGGGGGCTGGGGATTTAGCTCAGCGGCACAGCACCTGCCTGGTAAGCGCAACGTCGTGAGTTCGATTCCTGGTACCGGGAAAAAAAAAAGAGAGAGCAATGCATTTCTCCAGTACTGGGTTGGTTACCCCAAGAGTGGCTCCTTACACAGCCTACCCCTCAACCTCTTCACTTGCTTGCCTTGCTGCATTTCCTGTTATGCTATGAACCAGCATGAGGCCCTAGTAAGAAGCTAAGCAAATGCTAGGTGCTGTGCCTTGGATTTCCTAGCCTTCCAAACCATGAACCCAATAAACCTCTTTACTTTATAAGTCACCCAGTCTCAGGCATACTGTTAAGCAACAAACAGACTGAGACGCCCCCATTACTAAAGTAACGCCTCATGCAACTTACGGCAGGCCAAGGTCCAGGCCCAGGTTGGCTCAGATCTTTCCCCAGGAGCTATATAACTCACCAGCTGGCCAGCACACATAGCTCTACCTCCTCCTGCCAGGACCAGAGTCTGAGTTACCACCGCTGGGTAACTTCAAATGCAGTTGTCTATAATTAAAGTCCTTTCCATCCCTTAGGCTCACAGCCTGTGGCCAGAAAATGCTTCAGTTTAATCTCCAAATGGAGGGTTGCTTCAATTTTGTTTTCCTTAGAGTCAGCTATTCCTAAAAGTGCCAGAGTCAAAATAGTTTAATGCTCATAACAACTCAGTCCTTTGAACAACGCACTATTTACAATGCGGTCTCTAGTATGTGGGAAGTAGGAGTTTAGCTGTCTTTTAGTGCTAGGGAAGAACTCAAGGCCTTTTTTTTTTTTTTGGTCTTTTTGAGACAGGGTCTTGCTATGCAGTTCAGGCTGGCCTTGAGCCACTTTGTAGCCCAGGCTGGTCTTGAACTCACAATGATCCTCCTGCCTCAGCCTCCTGAGTGCTGGGATTGTAGGCGTGGGCCACCACGCCTGGCTGAACCCAGGGCCTTGAGCTTGCTCAGCACCTGCTCTACCACCGAGGTATACCCTCAGCTTCCTCTTCTTTTGTAAATCTCTGAAACACATTGCTGGTTTTGCTCCAAACACAATGCCCCAGGCACTGGTCTCCCAAGGACTCGTCATGGTTGTCTCCCATCTTAACGCCTTGTGCTGGACTTTATTCTCTAACTATAAGGAATCACACTCGAAAAGCTACTCACTTGCCTCTTGGTGAGGGACCAGAAATGGGTGTGGAGGTGATGGGGCAAGGAGAAAAGCAGAGCCTGGTGGGCCGAGGACAACCTCCTTGGCCATGAAACTTGGGGAAGCGGCTGTCCCGGGGTGGCTGGACCCAGGGCTTTGACTCCAGGGGACCAAATTCATAAGATAGGGTCACAGAATAAAGATGCTCACATTTCAGTTGGCCTTGTAGGAGAAACTTTTAATGTAAGGACACCTGAGTCGCCTCTCGAGGCCAGCCTCCCCTCTCTCAGAGGTCACTGCATGACATGTGGGAAGTCCAAGATGAACCCGTCACTGTACCCCCTCCCAGGAAGGAATGCAAGTCAGCCTCTGCAGGGTGGGGACCCGTGACCCCTGAGAGGAATGTGTGCACCTTGCCCTTGTGTGCGGGGGGGCTTGCCATGTTGCGTCGTGACGTGATTACCTTGCAGAGGACACAGCTGGCTGCTCTCTCAAGGGTCAGTGCTGGGGTCTCCCCTGTAAGGGGGCTGACATGCCCAGTACTGGTGCTCTCAGGCAAGCCAGGGCATCTGCAGGGAGCGGGAACCCCGGAGCAGGCCTTCAGCAGAAAGCAGATCACGTGTGGCCGGACAAAAAGTCTGCATGGGCCCCTCGCTCCACCAAGCAGGAGGCCAAGGCCCTGGCCCAAGTTTAGGCAGGTAAACGTCCTGTGCAGGGGTCTGCACTGAAGAGCTTGAGACACTGAGCTTCTGGGTCAGGTTCCAAAGGGTCTCAGCGGGCAGCCTCCCTCTGGGGCGTTCTGTGTGCCTGGTTTGGCCACTGTAGAGTTACAGTATTTTCTGTTTTAATATCTGCTTCAGTCTAATGTTTTTGATTTTTTTTTTTTTTGGTCCTGGGAATCAAACCCAGGGCCTTGTGCACACTAAACTCTAACTATACCGCTGGGCTGCATCCTCGGCCTATTTTGCTTTACTTGTTTTGTTTTAATTAATTAATTTGCTTTTTTTGTTTATTTTGTGGTACTGGGGACTGAACGCAGTGCCTCCACGCTGAGCTACATTTTGTGCCCAGCACATTTTCATTTTATTTTGTGAGACAGGGTCTTGTTGAATTGCCCAGGCTGGACTCAAACTTGCACTCCTCCGGCCTCCGCCTCCCTGAGCACTGGGACTCAGTGTGTGCCACCACGCCCAGCTCCGAGCTAGCATTTTAAAAGACAATATAATGAGGCAGCTAGGTTTTGCTTGAACTTAATGTAAATAGTCTGTTCCTCTATCTTAAAACTACCCACATGGTCTCTGCTAACTGCGTAAGCACTTAAGGCACTGAGCTCTGAGATGCCAAACCAGACAGATGTGTGTCATCCTTTGGCCATTTCTTCTGACCATTTAGGTCCATCTTGCTTAGACATTCCAGCCCAGCTCGGCTGTGCATGCCAACTGCGTTAATGGGAGCTTCCCTGAGGTCCTGCAAACGGGAACAAACCCACCTTCTACTCCTTAGAGAGATCATTGTTATGGAAGAAAAGTCTAAGAATTATATAGGAACATCAATTGGTATCATGGCCTGTGTTCTCACCATATTTCATCAGAAATGCAGACCTGACACTCATATAGCTTGTTTCACAGAGCTGTCAGCAAAAGCCAAGGATTTAATAACTGTAGCGCCCAGGTCTGCAAAAGGACACCTCAGATGGGCACCCTGGTGGGTCACAGATCATACTTGGATGATGGCACTTCTCCACTGACACATTACAAACACTCTCCAGAGGTGTTTGGGCATCTGTCCTGCCCTCCTGCCCTCCCTCCCTGCAACCTGCCGTGGACCACAGGATTTGACTGTGGAGAAGGACATTCTTTGATTAGAAAGCACTGAGGACACACAGTGATTTGTTTATTGTTGCAAAAATGAACTGAAACCTTTCACCTTAAGATAACAGTGTATTTGAATTGCAGGAGATCCCTATTTTTTAGTCTTGCCATGCATTGTAAAAATTAATGGGAAGTAAGGACTGTGATTGTAGTGGATTGATAACTGGTGGTCAACTTATAACCCCCAGCTTAACTGAGTGAGTGTGGTGCTGAGTGTGGGAGGCCCATCTGGGGACTGTTGCCAGTAGCATAAGAGGCAGAATTGGAGAAGGATAATACTTTATACTAAAACGTTTGGTATCCACCCATGTGTACTAGCTACGCCCTTGGTTCTCGATCAATAAAAGGTGACTGAGATTGGTAATCGGGGCTGCAGTCCACGAGGCTGTAAGCCGCCTGATCCCAGACTTTTGCCTCTCTCGTTTTTCTTGTCTCTCTTACTTTTTCTATTCATCTGCGGGTACCTCGTTCTTCGGACCTGTCACCCTGGACAGAATGACATTTGACCTGTGTGGCTGAGGCTGAACAGTGAGACCACTGCCTTGATCATATAGGATGTGGTCAGCGAGAGATTCCAGACCCAGTATAAACCCATCACTCTGTTCCTGGCACTGAGAAGGAGTGCAAATCAGGGCGGGGGGGACATGCGATCCGGCTGCTGGGGAGGGCCAGCAACAGTACACAGGCCCAGGAACCAGACAGAAATGAAAAAGACAGACATCAACAGAGACAGGCAGACAAAGAGATAAAATACACATCCAGAACACAGCAGAGATGGAGGAGGAAAGAGAATAAACAGTAACAGGAGCCGCTCTGCCCTCCTCCAGCCCTAAGGCATGCTGTGCATTCATGCTCTATGCTATTTAAGCAAGCCTGACATTTCTGTTAGTTGCCACCAAAACAGTGCTGGCTGACACACACCAAAGGTTGGTCCCTTCTATCAAACATTATTATTCTTCACCTTGTCCCATATTCTGAGAAGGCCTCACTGCAGACTTTGAAATAACAAGAGCACATGTGCTTCCCCCACACTTCTTGCCTGTCCCTCCCCAAAAGAAACTGTCACATGGTCAAAATTACCATGACTACAACAGCCAGATCAAGTGGACATCCCACCCCTAGGAGAGCCAGGCTCGCTGAACAACGCCAAGTTAGACCACGTAATGGTGGTGTCTCATTCCTGTTCTGTTCCCACCACCCTTGTGAGCTCTCGCAGCTCTAAATACGGTTTAAATGCTGCCATCTCCCAAATGTTTGTCTCCAGCAGTCTTCTCCCCTGAACTCCAGACTTGGGTATATAACCGTCCCCTTGCAGGTTAAACAGGTATCTCAAATCTAACCTGTCCAAACTGACCTTGTGCTATTGCTCCGCAAACCTCTTCCTCTAAATCCTCCTTCCTCTTGACTTCTCCCTTGCTTTCACTCTCCAAGCCCACTCATTTGCAAGTCCCACTGATGGTATCTTCAGAAGGTACCAGGATGTTCTGCTGCCACTATAGTCTAAGCCTCCATCTCTTCTTGCCCAAATTATTTCAACAGCCTCCCAAGTGCGGTCCCTGCCTCCTCCGAAATCTCCCTTCAGGCTGCTCGACACAGCCTGTACGAAACAGTTACAAGTACACACTGCACTGGGTCGCTCCTGCACCAAATTAGCAGGGTGAAGTCAAAATCTGTACAGATTGCCTGCAAGGCTCCCCATCTGAGAGGTCGAGGCCCCAAGTCTTTCTGATCTCACCCCTCCTTGGAGACCACACCTCAGCCACAGTGGCCTTCTTTCTTGCTTCTTTCAGGGCCTCCGTCTGCACTGGTCTGCACTGTCTCCCTACCCCAAACACTCTTCCCGGTATCCTCAGGATGCATTCTCTCTCTCCAGTCCTTTATGCAGATGCTTACTCAGCGAGACATCTTCTGGCCGCCTTGTCAATCCCACTTTCATCTTCATACTTTCTTCCTACCTCCTTCCTTGCTTCCATTTTTTCTTTTCCTTCTCAGCCCATGATAACATTCTACATACTTTTTTTTTTCAGTACTAGAGATCAAATCCTGAGCCTTCACACTGATTTATACCCCCAGCCTTTTTTCCTTTTGAGGTAGGGTCTTGCTGGGCTTCAACTTGCGGTCCTCCTCCCTCAGCTTCCCAGAGTGCTGGGATTTATCTTATTTGTCACCGTTCAGTCCCACTAGGATGTAAGCTATTTGAGAAAGGGGACTTGGTCAATTTTGTTCACTACTGTATCTCCAACACCTAAGAGTAACCTGCACACCCCAGGCACATAATATCTGAATAAACTGAAAAGAATTTTATTTATTTTATTTTATTTTATTTTTTTTGGTTTTTCTCCGGTCCCGGGAACCGAACTCACGACCTTGCACTTGCCAAGCAGGCGCTTTTGCCGCTGAGCTAAATCCCCAGCCCCTGAAAAGAATTTTAAGCAGAGAAGCATACTCCACCAGACTTACATTTTAATAAATAACTCTGAGCTAATAATAAACTAAGAGGAGTTCGAGCAGGGAGACCAGCGAGAAGTTACTACAGTAACTCAGGGCCACAATGCACAGTCACACTCCTCTGAGCACTACACAACTTCACTAAAACGGGAAAAGGTGCTCCCGGAGATGGATTAAAAAGGCTGGCTCCAAAGAAAACCACGAAGGTGGTTTGAATTGGCCAAATTTGGCTTTATTTTGAAGGTAGAGCCCGCTCCACTTACTGACACAATCACTGCAGGGATGTGAAAAAAAGAATCAAAAATATTTCCAACATTTTTGGCCTGGATGACATTAGTCCAAATGGTGGGTTAAGGAGCCTTTCTATTCATAGGTGCTTACCACATTCCAAACAGTACACAAGTCCTCCCGTGGCCCCTCCAAATCTCATCTCCAATTACACTTCTCTCATCTGCTCATATGAACCCTTTGTTACACTGTCCCTCAACAAAGCCTGTGCTCCCTGGTTTCCTACCTTGCTCACCCTACACCAAACCTGACTTTCTCACGTGACAGCGACCAAGCCAGCACAAGTAACACTTTCTCCAGCTTACCTTTCCTGATCCCTTAAGTCAAAAATTAATGTTCCACCAACTTCTTCCTACTGCACCTCTGTAAGCGCACTCACCTGGCTGGGTGTATTACAGGTTAAACTGTTGATTACCTACTCTCAAACTCCCATCCAACCCACATGCACCTCTCACGGTCAGGACCCACGAAGGGAGAATTACAACTTCTGTCTCCCCAGAATGGAGGCTCTATAAACGTGTATTGAGATAATAAGGAAGCTACACAAATTTCAAAGTCCAAGCTTCCTTGCAGTATACATATACAGTATACATATCCCAGGGATATACAGTATACGTATCCCAGGACCTCTCTGGCAGATAGGACACCTGCTGCGTCACAAAGGCCTTGCGTGATGCATACGTGCCTGACAACCCCGGAGGAACAGCAGCGCTAGACAGTGACTCTGCACCGCCTGACTATACGCAGCTTTGGCCGACCGGCTGGAAAAACACGTGCAGGGTTCCGTGCTCGCTCCCCCACCCCCACTGGCAGGGTGCAGCCCCAGGCGGCCGCTCGCTGAAAGGTATGAGCAGGCACTGAGCCCGGTCCGGACGTCCGACTCAACCAGCCGCTGCATGCTCCACCCCGCAAGCAGCGGGGGGAAGCCCAGAACGCGTAAGCACCGCCTAGCTCCGTGAGGCTCCGCGCTAGGCCCGCGCCACGGGCTGCGCAGCCAATCCCAGCGCGGCGGTGCCTTCCTAGCCAATAGAAAGGCGGATGCCTTGGGGGCTCGGCCGGAGCCGCGCTTCCATTGGCTGGGAGCTGCACCGCCCAGACAAAGCCCCAGTGTACTCGCGCCGGCGCGCCACCCGCTTCCCGCAGGGCTCGGCCTCGGCCCCTCACCTCCCGGCGTCCCTCCGGCGCCTGCACCTCGCCGTGTCCTCTCCTTCGCCAGCCCTGTGTCCATCCGCTCTCGGGCACTCCCCGGCGCGGGTTCTGCCGGAAAAGCTGGGCCGCGGCCTGATCGCTGTCCAGCATCCTTCGCGGGGGCGCAGCACTGCCCAGACCTCCCGGAACAGCGCCCCGTGGAGGGCGCGAGAGGAGCGGAGGGACGCCGGCGGAAGCTGGGAAACAGCCCGCCGGGGAGCAGGGCCTGGAGCAAGGCTGGGGGGCAGGACTATCTGCCTCAGTCTTTAACTACGACGATGTGACCTTGAACACCCCGCTTCTTGGGGCCTGCGATCCCTCTGGCAACGGGCGCGGCTGGGGATGACGGATCCCGAGGGCTCCCCCTGGGGCCGCGGGTTCAAACCCGGGCCGGTGCTGGGCACCCACCCACCCGACTTTTGCTCCCGCAGGATGGACGGGAGTCGGGAGGGTGGAGCCGCGAGGGTGCCCGAGAGGACCACCGAGGATTAGACTAGCTCGCCTTCTTCCCGCCTTTGATCGGCCAGGCCGGCCTGTAGGCCGCCATGGCCCTGTAGCGACCCACGGTGCAGGGGTCCTCAAGGCCAAACCAGACTAAGCACAGGGCGTGTCCTGCCGCTCTGGGGAGATGCAGGCCCCCTCTCACCCGCGCCCGCAGGCAAGGCCGCTGCGCCCGCCTGTCCCGGAGCGGTGCAGACCCCTCTCCCCGCCCGGTGGACCCAGAGGGGGCGCTGCGGCCGCTCTCTCCGAAGCCCTTCTACCTACCCTCTCTGGTGTCCCGTCCTGGCACCAGGATGCGCCCACACGCTTGGGTGCCTGCGTTGGGCTGCGCCGGGCGGGGCCAGACGGCGAGACGTGGGGGCGGGGAGTCTCCCGCGCCGCCCCCTCTGCCCTCGCGCGCTGGGCCTGGCACAATCCCTGCCCGGGGCACCGCGTTGTTAGTCCCCCTCCCGCCCCCAGTTTAACCCACTCCCACCCATTAGGTGTTCAAACCCGGGCCCGGTGCTGGGCGCCCACCCGACTTTGCTCCCGCGGTACGGACGGGAGTCGGGAGGGTGGAGCCGCGGGAACAGAGCGCCGCCACCTCCTTCCTGGCCCGCGACCGGGCTGAGGGGGCAGGAAGGTTCCTCTGTGCCCCGGGCTGTGGGCACCGAGAAGGTGCCACTACAGGAAATGAGGAAACGCTGGCGACGACGAGGCTCCTCCAGGCCCTTGACGTATTTGCTCTTTCAACTCATCGGGATTGGCTCCTGGGTTTTAAAATTTATTTTGATCATTAGAAATTTATTTGAAGAATTTGCTCCTAAGGGTCTTCTACAGTAATTTAAGACTAGCATAGCCTCCCACAGTATCAGCAATAGAAGGTTGGAGGATAATCGGCCGGAGATGAAACTCTCCTTCACCCCAGCACCCCTAGGCAGCAGCTTTCCAGAAAGAGACTGAAGAGAGAAAATAAGCAGGACAGAATGGTGGAAGGACTATTTTTAGGTAAATTACAGAAGGATGGAATGACAATGGACCAGCCAGATGAAAACAGGAAGTCACGGAGGGGACAGGGAGTGGCTTTGGTATATGTGCTGCCTGAAGGAGCATGGGGTGGCTTTAAAGAAACCTGTCATGCCTGTCCTAGAAGTCGCTTGAGCCCAACTCCTGACATCCTGAGCCTTAAAGTTCTGGGAGAATCATGACAAAGGCTGCACTTGGTTCAGTGCACCCATTTCACGGGCTCAAGCCGGGACCCTTCTTGCCTCAGGGATGCCATCTGAGAATAGTCACTTGGTACATCAGGCCACAGCCATCATAATAAATCGCTATACTGAGTCACCAGGTGACACTTCCAAGACACGCATGGCTGAAAAAGCAGTTAAAGGAAAGATTCAACCTTCCACCTAGGAAAACCATAGATCCTAACTTTGCACTGAGAATCAAGTGGTAAGGTATTTCCCTCTGTGGAAGACAAAGAAGGGACAGCTGACCTGTCAGTGGTTGTACCAGACACCTGCAGTGGCTGGGTTCACATCATTCCAGCTCAGCTTTGCTGTTGTAACCAGCCGGACACGGGTGTGACCAGAGAGCCCCTCGCTCGGCTGTACCTGTCTCTCCCTGCTCCAGGGCTTGTCTGCCACTGCAGCCTGGGACCCCTGCAGAAGCCCACTGCCCGTCCTGACACGTGAGTTAACCTGGGGCAGCCTCTGACCAGTGGCACACACCCTTCCAGTCTTCTCCCCATAGTTCTGAGATACACTCCACCCGCTCCCTAAAATGATAGTGCCCAGGGGGCCCATGGGAGTCACCGACTTCATCACCTCAAAAATATACCCTTGAGCAGGGTGGGTAAGTACATGCCTATAATCCCACTCTGGGAGGCTGAGGCAGGAGGACGGTGACTTTGAACCCAGCCTGGGTAACTTAGTGACTTAGAGAGACTTTATCTGAAATAGATATAGATATAGATATAGATATAGGTATAGATACAGATCTGAGAATGTAGCTCAGTTAAAAGGCCCTGGGTTTACCCCCGGTACTGTGATAAACAAATCATTGAAAATATGCCCTTGGATTAACTTTCTCATCCCCCCACTCTTCCCTATTTGACTCTTCCAAGGCCTTCACTCATATTCCTTAGGATTTACTCTGTAGCTTTGTGGTGGGTTTTTTTTTTGTTGTTGTTGTTTGTTTGTTTGTTTTTGGTACCGCGAATCTAACTCAGGATCTTGCACTTGCTAGGCAGGCGCTTGTACCACTGAGCTATATCCCGGGCCCGTGCTCTGTAGCTTAGAAATGATTCCCACCACTTACATGATTAGCTATGTGACATGTTTTTCTGTGATAAGAACAAGGAGCGTAATCTATGTCCTATAACACATTTTCAGCCCACGTGTGTGAGTTATTGGCCTGAACTGCTGGATTCCAAACCACATAAAAATCTAGGATTTTGACACACTTTGAAAGAGTAGGCAGCTAGCTGCAGGGCCGCCATCAGCCTTGGAGCTGGGCTGGGCAGCCGCAGCGCCCTCTAGCGGGCAGGACCCTCGCAGGTCTTCCCGGATCTCAACCGTGTGCACCTACCTGCCTATACAGGGAGGTTCGCCTCAAACGCTGATTAGATCTGTCCACTGACGCCTGCCTGTATCCTAACTGGGCAACGGGACTTTCATAGTTGGATACTAAGTGAAATTGGAACTCACTCCCTATGTGGCTAATGTACGTAGTCTGTTGAATGTATTCCCCGTGCCATCTGTTCTCATTCTCCTTTTTAAGCGTTGTGAAAAAGAAAACAAGAATCTCTTCAGCAAAATACCATGTGATTTGTGAAAACATGCCTGTCATCTCTTTATTTGAACTATTAGAAAACATTTGTTCTTAGAATAAACTACCAAGACACAAGTCCGTGCTCAGGCCCCGTGTTTTAGGAGGAACCCACATTCTTATCCTTTCAGAACTTTCTGGACACTGCTAATGTGGATTCAGGTTGGTTCAGCTTTTGTTCCTTCGTTTCCGAGTCCCTACTTTCTACGGCATCCTAGTCAACCCTCAGAGACAGGCAGCCCACACCTGAGAGCAGCCGGAGAAAGGGCAGCTGGAGGGCTGGGACCAGGGGGGCGTCAGGCAGAGCCCTCTGCCTTTCCCTTCCCTCGGAGGCTGGGGCTGGAGACTCGCCCAGCTCTGTGGCTGCAGATGCAGAGCAGAGCGGGGGAGTGAGGTCACTGCCAACACAGCATGGCCAGGACTCTGTCCCTTTCCTCACACCGGCAGCTCCTTTCTGCCCAGAAGCAAGGTCGAGCTCTGCAGCACCCCTCACTTCTAACCTCTACACCCAAAGGGCACTGTGCAGATTCCAAGGCAGGTATGAGAGGGAAACAGCCCACAGTTCAAGGAGAGACAAGTGCATATGCTTAATGAATCATTAGGGACTCAGTAGATCTAAGAGAGGCACCCAGAAGTGTAAGTCAGAGTTCTTGGGGCTCAGACAGGCTTCGAATCCTGAAAGATTCCTGATCAGAATGAAGCACCCGCAGGTGTTGCCCTGCATCCTGACATTCCAACCCCTATCCTGAGAAGCCACAGGTGTCTGCTCCTGTCCCTTGATCAGCTCCTAACTGCCTCCTACCTCACACCAGCTTGTTAGTCCCCTACCCAGCCTTCCTAGGCAGCCTCTTCCCTGCTAGATCTGGTTCACCCCATCCAAGTGGCCTAGGTCTTCCCCCAAGGCACCGACTATGGAATGCGGTCCGTGCAGGTTAAATCCTGCCCTTGGCCAGCCGTTCTACAGGGAATAGAAGCAGAACCACCTACTCCCTCAGACTCTACTGGGTTTCTGTTTGTTTTGATGCCACTGCATTTTCACTTATTAAAAAACATTTTTTGGTGAGAAATTATACCCTTAACATAATTTTACAAGCATCAAGTAGCGTTTTCTACACTCACAAGGCAAGTAAAGAAGCAACCCAGTGCATTATTCAGAAGCCAGTGTGTCGGAGAAGCCTTGAAAGCAGATCTTAACCTGAATTCTGAGAGGCAGGAGAGTAGGAGGGGCTGCCCCTCCTCCCACCCCCGCCCCGCAGTAAATGAGCAAGGAAAACAAGCTTGACTTGCAGGGGAAAGGGCGGGATCGGTCACACACATCCCCACCCCTCTGTCTCTCTTTAAAAACGTAATTAAGTTTATTGGTACATTTTAGATATACATAAGGATCACATTCACCATAGGGAATTTGTACCTGTACATGATGTATTTGGCTGCTTTTTTCCCATTCCCGTGTCCTGCTTTCAACCCTTCCCCTCCTTAGTTACAGAAGCTTTGTTTGCATTTTTTTCTTTTCTCATTTTTTCTTTTCCCTTCCTTCCTTTCTGCCTCCTCCCTCCTTCCCATTTGAGCATCTTCTTCCTGTTTCACAATATCTATTATGTATTTTAGTCCTTATTTACACTTTCAGTTTCTCACACCAGAGAAACAATGCAATATTTACACGTGCGTGTCTGATTCATTTCACTTGAGCATGGTTTCAAAGTGCATCCCTTTACCTAGAAGTATCTCAAGTTTATCCTTTATGGCTGAGTAGTACTCCATCATATTAAAAAAAACCCCACATCTTTATCCATTTGTCAGTTGATTATGAACTGTGCAGCTATAGACATGGGTGTGCATATATGGCTGTGTATGATGCTTTTAATTCTTTTGGGAAGATACCAAGAAGGGGAATAGCTGGGTCAAGTGGAACCTCTAGCTTTAGTTTTTTGAGGAATCTCCACACTGATTTGCACATCCTTCTGTCTCTTGACCCTAACACATTTCATTAAAATTTCTGTTTAAACCACACAGCATTTTGTGGGATGGGCAGTCTTGAAATTCAAAATTTTCTGTGGTCATTAGGATCTTTGAAGAGGAAAGAGTATGAGGAGATGAGAAAATGAAACAACTCTGTGCCCACTTCTGCTCACCTCACCCTAAGCCACAGCGAGCCATCAAGTCCTGTCCTTGTTCTCTGGGCTTGCAATAACGGAGCCCTTGTCCCCGGGCATTGTGTGCTGTGGGATCTCAAGGATAAACCTGTTCTTGACCACACAGCTCAGGAAGCAGTGGCTGCTCACTAGTGTACTGTCGCTGAGCCAGTGTCTTCTGTGCCTTGCTTCACCTAATTTCACAATGATCCTCAAATCAAGCTAAAATTCTCTCCATTTTACAGCAGGGGAAATCAAGGCCCGGAGGGGTCAGATAACCTGCCCC